TTAAGTAGTGACGGATCTACGGCCAAGAAGGTGGGGCACGTGCCCCATAGAGATTTAAAAAATTCTAAGGAGTCATTATTAATATAAACTCTAGTTCATTTTATTAGTATTAAATCTAACTATAATTAGTCACACCAATCTCTCTTTCCTCTTTACATCGTCTTTGATTATGTTTTAATCATTCCTTATACTTATTCCTTTTTATATTAAAACATGTATGTCTTATTTCTATGTTATATTTCTTCAAAATGTAGTAAATTAAATGGTTTGGTTTCACTTTTCAGTATATAAATATTTTAGAATTTGATTCTTTTCAATAAAGTTTATTTAATTACAATCTATATAATTTATTTTTAAATGCATTATATATTTCTTAAATATCTAAATCATCTTAAAACCAATAACAATAGTTATTTTTTATATAATTTTGAGTCTCCAAATTTAAAATATGTTACATAATTAATTTTTATATTTTTTGGTCAAAAATTACATAATTAATTTAAATATATTTTTAATATTAAAAGCTAAATTTATTTGTGCCCCATACCTAAATTCTTCCTAGATCCGCCCTTGTTAGTTGTTACTAACACACACATACCAAAAAATCATTTTAACAAAATACCAATTATTGTTCCAAAAATAAAAACAAAAACAGAAAACCAATTAAGAGTTAGCTGGTAAGTAGTGTTGGGATAAGTGAAAACAGGTGCTGGTGCAGGATATTAAAGATAAATGAAAGAAGTAGATAAAGCATTTAAGGAGAGTAGTGGTGAGTTGAATTTAACTAGGTGCATGGGCCTTTACACAACCAGATTGCACTATATATACCCATGCTTGCTCAATCTTATATTTTCATACTACCTATAATAACTCTCAAACCACTATAACTCCTCAACGGTCCGATATGTGTGATCCCACTAGAGACGATGGCTCTAGCCAAATCGGCGTGGTGCGTAAGGAAAAAAGAGCCTTGTTTCAGAGGAAATGGACGGTAGTCGATGTACTAAGAGCGTTAACCGTTGCGAGTGTGCATTTTTGGTGTCTCTTGGCGCCATTTAACTACAAATGGGAAGCTTTACGGTTCGGTTTGATTCTCGTCGCGGTAACTAACCTCAGCGTCACATTCTCGTACCATAGGAACTTGGCTCACCGGAGCTTTAAGCTCCCAAAATGGCTCGAGTATCCTTTTGCTTATTCCGCTGTTTTTGCTATTCAGGTCAGTAAAATCTAACCAAGTATTACAATATATATGTCAAATGATTTTTAGAAAAACATATGATTGGAAACAATATTAAATATTTTCAGGGTGATCCAATGGATTGGGTGAGCATACATAGGTTCCATCACCAGTTCACGGATTCGGACCGCGACCCACATAGCCCCAAGGAAGGGTTTTGGTTCAGTCATGTGTTGTGGACATTTGACACTCTTTACATCAAATATAAGGTATATATCTCTCATCTTCTTTCTATGACTTATAACGTTGTTGTATTTAATGAGTGAATGTAACAGTGTGGTGGACGTAACAACGTTATGGATTTGAAGAAGCAATGGTTCTATAGGTTTCTGCGAAAGACAACTGTTCTCCACATCTTAATGTTTTGGAGCCTTCTTTATCTCTATGGTGGTTTACCTTACCTTACATGCGGCGGGGTAATTTTTTTTTTTTTTCTTTAAAAAGACTTTAGAAAATAAATATTTTGTATCAACCAATTTATGATGGTCTAATAGAAAGTATGATGAACTTTACCCTGTGAATCTAGGGGATTAAATTAAAGGTGAATAGTTTTTACCATGTAAATTGATTTCAATTATGGTTGGCTAATGCGGGTGCCTTAAATGACAAGAATTCTCGGATCTACACACTTCATAGATTTGCCATAAATATCAATTTTCATCTGTCCAATCTAAAATTGATATTTACTCATTAATTATGAGTTTGATGATAATAATTTATGGTAGGGTGTTGGAGGCGTGCTGGGGTACCACGTGACATGGCTCGTAAATTCCGCATGCCATATTTGGGGTTCGAGGTCGTGGAAGACTAAAGACACATCTCGTAACATTTGGTAATTTGATTTGTTTTTTTTTTTTACATTTTGGTAATATGACTCTATATATACATATTTATTATGTTCAACTAGTTATGTTATCATTAAGAACATGAACTCCGGGTGGTGAACCAGTGCAATAATGTCTACAAAAGATAAATTTATAGTATGAGTTGAACAAGTGAAAGCATCGAGTTGATATAACCTAGCTAAATTAATCTTAAAAAGAAAAAAAGCCAAGCAAACTATGTGTTGTTATATGCGAATATTCAAATCTCTTGTGTACTATATATTGAAATGAGATTTGACGGTCTTGTGAATATAATGAAGGTGGCTAAGCGTATTCACGATGGGAGAGAGTTGGCACAACAACCACCACGCGTTTGAGTCATCGGCGAGGCAAGGATTGGAGTGGTGGCAGATTGATATCACTTGGTATCTCATTCGACTATTCGAATTTTTTGGATTAGCTACTGATGTGAAATTGCCCTCAGAATTCCAGAAACAGAAGATGGCTCTCGCTCGTTGATGTTGATCTATATCTTTGCATGAGAAGTTGGTCATATCTTTATATATTAGAGCAAAATATATTGTTCTTCTGTCTCTCGAAGTAGGTTTAATTTCCTTGGTTTTTAAGATGTTTGACTATTTTGTATGAGCATTATATTAAATCGTTAAGAATTTAATATTTGTATTTGTTTTGAATTGGATATTTCTTCTTATTAGTCTCAAAGATTAATATGAATAATCAATCTAAGAGCAAGGCTCGAATCATTTTGAAGAAAATCAATCGAAATAAAAATACGAAAAGGTCCAGTACAACACAAATGCATTTATTTGTTCTGACTTCTGAGAAACAAAAACCAGCAGTCACTATTATCCGATAAAAATTTACTCTCACATTAATTCCCAAAAAAACAAAAATCTTCAGCGTCATAGTATATATATTGGGATGATGTAGTAGGCTTTAAAGCTATATTAAC